GGAGGCAGTGAAGGACAGGAAGGCCTGGAGTGATATGGTTCATGGGGTCACGAAGAGGCAGACACGACTTAACGACTGAACAACGAACAACATCATTTCTATTAAGCAAGTAACATAAATGGATGCAGATGATGTAAAAATGTCAGTTACATAACTACGTAGACAAATGATGCAAACAATATCAATTGTCCAGACTGCTGTGCAAAAAAACAAATGCTGTCCATTGCTTGGGGATAAAGTCTAAAGTAAAATCCTGTTGCATTCAGAATCTGCTAAATGGAGATTTTATTGTATACTTTTATAGTGTGATCTAAGAAAATTTGCTGTCAACTGTCATATCTAGAAAGACTTATTTTGTATCAGGGTTTTTTATCTTTAAGTTTCACCGACATATTCTAAATATGTTTTATAAAAACCATGGTAAAAACCTTGCCAAGAACATTTTATGGAAGGGCTCTCAAATGATTCAGATATGGTGCCCAATGATAGGACCCCCAGGCCAGAAGGTACCCAGTAAGCTACTGGGGAAGAGCAAGGAGCTGCAGTGAGTAGTCAAGGCATTAATGATGTGCCTGCAGCAAATCCAGCAGGAATCTCAGCTGCTGATGCAGCCATTGGTGAAACCAAGGGTCCGTGCTACATGAAGACAACATCGGATGGCAACATGGGATGTCCAAGGAATGATCCAGGGTAAATTGGGTATCATCAAACGGGAGATGGCTAGGTTGAAAATTGACTACCTTGGTGTCGGCGAGCTACACTGGATAGACAACGGCTATTTCCTGTCTGAGGAATTCACTATCTATTACTCAGGACATGACCCCAGGAAAACGAATGGAGTGGCATTTATCACAAGCAAGAAACTCGCCCAAGCAGTGGAAAGCTTCTCAACAGTAAACGATTGCATCATGATCATCCAAATCTGTGCCAAGCCCCTTAAAATCATAGTTGTCCAAGTCTACACCCCAATGACTGATGCAATGGAGCTTGAAATAGAGGGTTTCTATGCCAGCATCGAAAAACTTTGAAGCAAGTGCCCAAAAAAGACATCGTTTACATACTGGGTGACTTAATGCAAAAGTTGGCAGAAAAGCAGGAACAGGCATCACTGGCAGCTTTGGACATGGGCAGAGGAATGATGCAGGCAATTGTTTGGTACAATTTTGCCATGAAAATCAATTCTGAACCATGAATACCTGGTTCAAACTGTACAAGCGTTGCTTATACACTGGGGCCTCACCAAATAAACTGCAACGTAATGAGATCGACTATGTCCTATGCAGCCATCAATGGACCAGTTCAGTCCCCAACATCAAGACATATCTGGGTGTCGATTGCAGTTCAGATTGTGAATTGTTGGTGGCTAAGATCAGAGTCAAATTATGCAGCATCAAAAAGACAGCACCACCAAAGAAGTTTGACGTCACCAAAATCCCTTCCACGTATGTAACTGAGGTGAAAAATAGGTTTGAACTGCTGGACACTGCTGAGAAGATGCCTGACGAACTGTGGAAGGAAATTAAATTGACCATCACTGAAACAGCAGTTGAACACCTGCCATGCAAGAAGCCAGAGAAAAAGCGCAAGTGGCCAAAACCATCAGAACAGCTGAGTGAAGAAAAGCAGCCAAAGCAGCAGGCAAACGGGAGGAAGCCAGGAGACTGAATGCGGATTTCCAAAGAGCAGCAAGGAAGGACAGCGAAGTTCACTGGGACCAGTGTTGCAAGCAGCTAGAAGAGGACTGCCTGAAGGACCACACCAGGAATGCATTTGCGCAAGTCAGACAGATCCGAACACCATTCACTGCTCATAAAAGCATCATCAAAAACCAGCAAGGGAAAGAACTGTCTGGCCGACAAGGTGTTAAGAACAGATGGCGAGAACATACAGAAGAGCTGTAGGCCAGCAGCACAGAGGCCCAGCCTCCTCAGGATGATGAGGAAAGGGAAGCAGAAATAGAACCAGCCATCCCTCAGGAAGAAGTTGGGAGGGCAATGAGCCAACTGCCAAACCACAAGGCCCCAGGTGTTGATATCTTCCCCGCAGAATTGCTGAGGCCTGTACCACCCACAACCATCACGGCCTTGTGCCAGAAAGTTTGGGAAATGAACACACGGCCACAGGATTAGAAACAATTAGTGTTCATTTCATTGCCAAAAAAGGATGACTCCAAGGACTGCTCCAATTACTGCACAATTGCCCTCACCCCTCACGCTACCAAGATTCTCCTTAACATCATACAACAACATCTGGCATTGACCATCAAAAGGGAATTACCAGATGTTCAAGCTGGCTTCAGAAGGGTTTGTGGAGCTCATGATCATATTGTAAATCTATACTGGATCATGAAAAAATCTCAAGAATATTAAAAAAAAATCTATATCTGCTTTATTGACTACAAGAAAGCCTTCAATTGTGTCGATCATGACAAGCTGTGGAGAGCCCTAGAAGACCTGGGGGTGCCAACATAGCTGGCCAAGTGGGTGCAGAAGCCACTGTGCAAATACCATATGGAGACACTGATTGGTTCAAGATAGAGAAAGGAGTGTGGCAAGGTTGCATTCTTTCACCTTTCTTATTCAACCTGTATGCTAAAGTGATCATGAGGCATGTGGAACTTGAAGAATCAACAATCAGAGTAAAGATTGGAGGAAGGAACATCAACAACCTTCAATGTGCTGATGACACAACTCTTCTCTCAGAAACCAAAGAAGGCCTGAAACATCTGTTCAAAAGGTTTAAAGAAGAAAACAAGAAATTTGGCCCCTTCTTGAACATCAAGAAGACCAAGCTCATGACCACTGTGACGAATGGAAATGTCCAAGTAGCAACTGATGGTGAAGAGATCAAATGTGTGCAAGACTTCACTTTCCTAGGATTGCAGATTGATCAAAGCAGTGAATGCAGCCCAGAAACAAAATGTTGAATCACACTAGCAGTGATGAGCATGAATTGAATATGGAAAAAGACGTAGGAATCTTCTCTAACACTATAGCTCGAACAAGTCAATTTTCCTCCTGTCTAGTTTTTTCACGGTCCAACTTCTGCAACCATAGGTACCTATGGGAAACACAATGGTGCGGACTAATCTGCATTTAACCATATTAAATGCAAAATAATATTAATCACAACAACCACAACAACTTAGGCCTGTCATATTTAAGAAGCAAGCCAGAGGTTCCTTCAACTGCCAAGACTACTACTTTCTCAAGATAGAGAAAGGAGTGTGGCAAGGTTGCATTCTTTCACCTTTCTTATTCAACCTGTATGCTAAAGTGATCATGAGGCATGTGGAACTTGAAGAATCAACAATCAGAGTAAAGATTGGAGGAAGGAACATCAACAATCTTCAATGTGCTGATGACACAACTCTTGGCCTATCTCAACCATGCCGGGGAAGGCTACCATAAAATGAGAAGTTGAATCGGATATTTGGGGCTTTATGCTCATTCCCCAATAGAAGCACAATCCATTGTTCTGAGAATAACACAAATAGGGTATTATTACGATTCTTTGTGCCAACTGTGTGCTTGATATGTAGATACATACAGGTCTGTTAACGTATTTGTATGTCTGTGCTAAGTCTGTTAATAAGCTATGTGACTTTTTTCTACCTAACAGCCTTCACCAACCAGAAGCTCTCCACATGGATTGGTAAAGCCACCCTGGTAGGAGATGGTGGAAACTGTAATGCAGTACAGCTGTCTGACAAGGGAACAGGCTTTGAAAGGCTCTTCCCATGAAAATCTAGGCAGGGAGATTATGTGGCTTCACTGACACAGGGAAGGCGGACAATCCCTCCGGGCTGTCCATCAGCTTTTATTGATCTTCTGTTATTACTTATTTGCGCCTGATTCTCTTCTCTCTCCTCTCAAATCTTGAAGCAGTTTAGCAGCTTTAAGCACGCATTAAGGGAAAGGAGCTGGGCCTCGTCTGCATGCACGTTTGCGTGTTTAGAAGAAAAGCCGCCCCCGCTACCAGTCCCAGCCATACTTCAACGGACGACGGCGCGCGTTTACTGGGAATCAAATCCCCCGTCCTCCACATGACAGGATCGCTCCCCTCTTAGGGCGCACCAGGCTGCAGGCCAGCCTAAGCATCTTTAACCCCCGAGCGATTAAGCCGGAAAGGGCCGAAAGTCCTTGCGACTCCATCCAGCGGCCTCGCAAAGCCCTGCCTCGCGATGGATCCGTCGCCAAACTCAGGAGATGGGGCCGCCGGAAGAAGAGGTCGGTGAGCCGGGGAAGCGGCTCGGCCGGGGAAGCTCGCCTGCCACGGCACGGCGTCCAAATGGGGCATGCCGGTGGCGGCCGGGCCTCGGGGGTCCCGGAGTCCTTAACTCCCCGGGGACAGCCCTGCACGTTGCTAATTCGCCTAGCCAGTGGCGCAGCGCCCCCTCCAGCATCTCCCACCGCCAAGCGCTTCTCAGTCCCCACTTGCTCCCCCCTGCCGCCGCAGCGGCTGCTGCCTGCCTAACCGCAGCGAAGCCCATCTCCAGGTCCCTTCTTTGAATCGCAGGGCCCACGGCAGGGCTTTGCCCCGCTGCCCGCCCTGCCCACCCTGCCCGGCCATCTACCTGGGAGCTGCGGCGACCTCAGCCCCACGAATAACCTGCTCCCTGGCACCTCCTTCGGCCGATCTTTTCTGCTTCGTGGTGTCTTAAAGGCAAGGTTCGTGCGCCGTTCCTCGCCCTCCGACAAAAAAGGCGAGTGGGTTGGCTAAAGACCGAGATGGACGCGCGGTGGCAGCGCATCGGGCATCAGCGCTTTCATTAATTTTGACGATCTCAGAACCACTTCGTGCCTCTGTTCCTTTGTGAGACAATCATCCGAAATAAATCCAGATGCGACGCAAATGGGGTTGCCTTTGAGTAAAATTCCAGGACAGCCAGCCTGGCACCTTTTAACATGGGGGTGCAGTTCCTGTCATGTTGCTTATTTCGCCGTGCGTAAGATAAAGCAGAGAGCTTGCCGTGAGTATTGTAACGAAAGTCAGAAGCTGGGATGGGCATGTTCCTGGGGGACTCGCTGGGCTTCTGGGCAGATAGTCGAAAAGCTGCCCTGCTTTTCAGTGCAAAATCTTGGGTTTGTCTTCTCAGAAACCCCACTGAGATCAAGAGTCTTTGCACCCAGGGAATGGGGCCCAGAAGTGCAGTGATAGTCTGGGACATGTCACTTCAGTGAGATGGAAAACAGAAAGAACATTTGAAATGGAATAGAACAGACTCCGCATGGCAGTTCTATGATACCTGCAAGGGTAAAACAAAGTATTATTTTTTATAGAACAGAAATACTGGCCAGTTCACTCTGAAAATGTTGTACCTGCCTCCATCGTGTTGGGGGTATCTTTGGACTGATGTATGAAAAATAATGGAATAGGAGATAAGAACCCATGGGGCAAAGCTTAGGTAGGCTTTTAGTGACCTTTCCATAGTCCTTCATTAAAGAATATTTAATGGAAAAACCACCAAAATCTCCTTATCCATAAAAATTAATTCCATATTAAACATGCTACTAAAGCACAACAAACGTTTTTTGTACATCTCATCCTACAGATATGCGAACGTGCTTCTAATGAAACGTGAAATAAAGAATATGTTTGGTTTATTGGCTAAGGCAGCTTCTTGAGGACAGAATGTTAGAAAATCATCAACAACCAAATGAAGCTGTTAATTAGACGATCAGCAGAAACAGGGCAGCAATTTACATATATGACTTTTAGAAGATTGTTTTTGTTTTTTTACTGAAATGCACTGGTTCTATAGCGTTGGTGTTTTTCCCATCCCAAAACAGCAGGAAACTGCGGTTAGTTTTCAGCAGTTGTGGTCACAGGGAACTTGTGAGGCTGCAGAGAGGAGTCCCAGGGCCAGAGTTAAGGAAATGGACCTTGGCTGGATTGGTCTTAAACACTTCAACACCTTCAGCCAAAGAGAGTCCTCCATCTCCTGAGGCTGTCTCTCCCACTGCTGAATAGCTATTTGGACATTCTTCCAGGTGTCCGATCAACATCTTCTTCATGATAACGTAAACCCATTGCTTCTTTGTCCTACCTTCTGGAATAGTTTTCTAGAATAATTCTGCCTCATCATTTACATGACGACCCTTTGGATACTTGAAGACGGCTGTCCTATCTCCCTGCAGTCTTCTCTTCAGGTTGAACTTATCCAGCGCCTCTACTGTTCTTTGTATTTCTTTCCTTTCCTTAAGGTTCAACAGACTGCGGCATCATAAATATTTCTTTCCAGTGTTGAACAACAGGTCTCTTAGCAATAGGGGTGCAGACAATCCCCCCCCCTTTTTTTTAATTACATGTCTCTATAGACTAAACCTGAGATGAGAGCAGAAATAGGAGAATTTAGTCACTCCTTTAACTATGGGTAAGATCAAAAAAGTGATTTTGACTATGAGTAATGTTAAAGTACCAGAACTGGATAGATTTCCTGTGGAACGGTATAAAGCATTTGTTGATATACTTGTTTCTAAACTCTAGCCACTATATAATAAAATTTTTGAAAATGGTATCTTATTTTCTTCATTTAACGAGACACATATCACAGTTATACCAAAATCCGGTAAAAATTATACATTATGTTTGAAGTAGTGCCCATTTCATTGGCTAGTGTAACATTACAATTTTAATTGCTTTTGTAGGTAATAGACATATAACAATCTTGGAAGATTTTCATTTTGTCTCCAACAACCCAATTGTTGTTCTCATTCCTTTTCTATGGAACTCTAGGTGAGTTCCAGTAAGTCCAAAATACTATTTTTGTTGAATAAGATGCAACCTAAGATACATAAAACATTTTGATACAGATTTTAAGACAGGTTTCCATTGTTTAGATATAATTCTACTTGGCAACACACCTGGATTTTTTTTTATTGATTATGTGCCATCAAGTCATGGTAGACTTTTAGTGACAGACCTTAGTGACAGACCTGGACAAAAGGTAAAATTCTGTAACCAGAATAATATAACACTAAGCCAGAAATTGTTAAATATAGGTATATAAAAGGAAAAAAATGTCTGGTAGAAAAAATGGACTAAAATGATGATGATGCTGATGATTATGATATTTTATTGCATGAAGATAAAATTAAACATCTGGAAAAGCAGAAGTGCTGGTTTTAAGTTCCATTGGGAAATCCTCAGCTCTGGAATCTGAAACTTTAATTTCTCCCTGGAAGTTAATACTGTACTGTACAAAACAGAATGGAAGTTTATGAAATATTGGAACTGCAAATATTTAGCTAAAACACTTCATTTATTGAAACATTAAGCTGGGTGGGTGGGTGCTTTGCTTTATTTTGTTTTCTTAGGGTTTTAAAATTTTAATTTAATTTAGATTTTCTTTTTTTTCTTTTTTCTGCATGTAGTTTTTTCCATACGAGATCTCCAGATAACATATATATTTGTTACTATTCTCCAGGCGTAATGTATTCTCAGAAAATTACTAGATATGTCTACAACATTCTGTAAGAAATGAGCAGAACTCTAATGCCTTTCTTTTCGGGCAGTGCAAAAGTATGGGAAAGAATTCATCCAGGATGATTTGCACCTCTTTTGGTTTCAGGCATCCTTATGTCAAAAGTAGAAGTGGCTGCTTCAAGAAGAGAGATACAGAAATTGTCTAGGAAACTGGCAGAGTTCCTGCAGCAGTCACACTCTCTGGGCAAGGCTGAGAAAAGTGCTGGCCGTTTTTTCCTATGAATCTGCCTACAGTATCTGCCTTCAAGGATTTGCTAAAATCATCACATGACATTATTTTGGCACCCTTCTACCAGATTAAATAGACCTGAAGGCTTATACTGGAAATTAGATCATATGTAACTTGAGAAGGAATTTAACCTTTAGGAATTTGGCTTGTATAATTGTACTTTGAGGCTCTTGTGAGTGTGGAAAAGGTAGAACAGTATCATGTTTAAATGGGAGATCTTTGTGATGAAAACAATATATGAATTCCCATACCAGGTAAGGAAGGAATAAAATATCAAAATGACAGACACAGAAGTAAAGTCCCAGATTCCTCACATCCAGAATTAAAAAGAAAAAAAGCTGAATCCAGAAGTGATCACATTGCCAACATCCAGTGGATAATGGAAAAGGCAAGGAAGTTCAAAAAAGACTACCCTAAGGCCTTTGACTATGTAATCCACAGCAACTTGTAAATATCCCATAAGGGCTCCTCAACTACTTATTGAAGAATTTGCATGATGCTAAGAAAGCAAGAGTTATGGATACATTCTATATAGAGCAGTGCTGTCCAAACTTGGCCACTTTAAGATGAGTGGACTTCAACTCATGGCTGGCTGGGGAATT